AAGTAAGATGAAATAACTGACAATGTCAATCGTTTCTCAGTTATCATGATGTTACTTGCTGGCCCTGTGTGGAGGATTTTTCTTCTTGACGCTGAGATGTAATCCACACTAAGGTCCTTAATCTTTTGCAGCAAGCTTTTCAGGTCTTCCTCACTTTTTACCAAGCTAGTCTGTGTCATCTGTATAATACAGATTGTTGAGGAGTCTTCCTCTGATCCTGAGGCCACATTATTCTTCATAAAGTCCAACTTCTGAAATTATTTGTTTTCAATTTTTTTTTAAATTGAATAGTGTAAAGTAGGTGAAAAAAAGAGTTTCTATTTCTCCAATGGATATGATTTTTCAGATAGGACAGTTTCTGAAGTATGTTTGCCAATCATTTAGCCTCAGACTTTAGATGGTGTTAAAACTTCAGAAAGGGTTATTCCTAAGAAAAATACATCATACTGGGAAAGGTGAAGGGTCAGGGAAAGAGATGAAGGTCCACAACAAGAGAGATTAACACAGTGATTGTAACAATGAGCTCAAGCACGTCAGAGATCATGAGGATGTTGCAGAATAAGATGAGGTCCAGTCTGTAAATCACAGGGCTGCTGTGAGTAGTAGTCAACTAGATGGCAATTAACAGTAAGAAGAAAGATTTAGTCATAAAAACACCGTATGATACTGCATGAGTATGTACTTTTATATGTGCGACAAATAAAACATGAAATTTAATTCTGATACCAACTAAATGAATAACAGGTAAGAAAACGTAATATATTTACCATAGTAAAATTTGAAAAAAATATGTGAAACATGGAAACAAAAGTGATAGAAGACACATAGTGTATTGGATACTGTACAGAAGACACTGTATTGGAACCATGAGCAACATAAGTACTTTCTAAATTTCCTTTAATGTTTAATGTTGAACTTCTAATTTAAAAATATAAAATGGTATCGATATTTTAATACACAAAGTGTATCTTAATATGCAAAGAGAAAGAACAAATAATGTTATATGTTATTGCTAACATTCATTAAATTGTTCAAAATAGCCAATGCTTAGTAAAAAATTTTATACATGATTTCATCAAATCTAATTTAAGGTCAAAAGAAAAACTGAGTAGGGTTTATATTAAGATATTATTAATTAATTGTTACATTGTTGCAATCACTGTGTCAATTCATGTGTTTGAGGGTCTTCTCTTTCGCTGAACCTCGGTCTTTCCAAGTATGATGTCCCTCTCCAAGGAACAGCTTCTCCTAGCAATGTCCCAAAAGTATGTGAGAAAAAGCTTTGTCCTCCTTGTCTTCAGGGACCATCCTGGCTGCATTTTCTCAAGACGTATTTGTTCGTTCTTTTGGCAGTCCATGGAATATTCAGTACTCTTCTCCAACACCATAGCTCAAACGCATATATTGTCATTCTTATTCAATGTCAAGTTTTCAAATGTGTAACAAGTGATTGAAAAGACCTAAATCAGGTACACCACAGTCTTTAAAATCACTGCTCTTTAGTAATTTGGTGAGATTCCTAAAAGTAGATTTTCCTAATGCAAGAGTTCTCTTGATCTCCTAACTGCTAGTACATAGGGTATTATTAAAGATGCAAGTAAGCTGAAGTTGTCTACAGTTTTAATTAGTCATAGCTAAAAAGGTAAATAAAGTAGCAAGTCTTCTGTGCAACAGCATTATATGAAAAGAACTGTTATTTCAGATTGACCTGTAGTCCATAGTTTGCCAATCCCTGGAATAAAGTTATACTTAATATATTTCATTTCTGGGGGGACGTGATAGTGTTAGATTTATTAATCTGAATTTTTCTTTTTAAAAAAATCGTGTTTGAAATGAAAGTTTACAAACAAATTGGTTTTGCTTTCACTCATTCTTACAAATTTTCCCCTTCTTTCTCCCAATTCATTACATAATGCATATCCCGTTCCACACTGGTAATTGTTGAGTCAAGTACAATTCATAAAGTCTATGAACAACAGATCTGAACCCAGTCCTATCCTGTGCCATCTTCATCATCTCTGACACTCCTGAGCCCTCTGATACAGTACCTATGTCAATCTATCTCATTGAAGATCTTCTCTTTCGCTGACTCTCCACCTTTTCCAAGCATATTTTCCCTCTCCAAGGAACAGCTTTCCCTAATGACTAAAGTAAATGTGATTAAGCTTTGTCAGCTAAGGAGCACTGTGGCTGTACTTTTCCTAATATGTATCTGTTTATTCTTTTGGTAGCCAGTGGAATACCAGTATTCTTCTCCAACACCATAGCTCAAAAGTATCAATTTATTTTCTGTCATCCTTATTCACTGTCAGTTTTCAAATGTATAGTAAGTGATTAAAAAGACCATTGTCCGAATCAGGTGCACCTTAGCCTTCAAACTGTTATCACTGCTCCTCATTAATTTAGAGAGGTCTCTGATAGTGGACTTGCCCAATGCTGGTAACAAGAGCTATGGTAAAACCAAGTAAGAGGAAACTGTTGATAACTTCAATCTTCTCCAATTATCATGATGTTGATTCTTGGTCCAGTGATGAGAATTTCTATTTTCTTGATGTTGAGATGTTATCCATATTAAAGCCTATAGCCTTGGATCTTCTGTAGAAAGTTTCAAGTTCTCTTCACTTTGAGCAAGCAAAGTTGCATGATATACAATACATAGGTTGTTGATAAGTCTTTCTCTAATACTGAGCCCACATTCTTCTACATGGTCAGATTTCTTGAATGATTTGCTCAGTAAATAAGTATAGAGAAAGGATACAACCCTGACATACACCCTTACTGATTTTAAGCAAAGCAGTGCTCCCTTGTTCTGTTCAGATAACAGCTGCATGGTTCAGTTCTAGGTTTCAGATGAGAACAATTGAGTGCTCATTAATTCCCATTCTTCTCATTGTTAGCTATAATTTGTTATGATCCACACAGTCAAATACCTTTGCATAGTTAATAAAACACAAACTGTTGTTGTTGTTCTTAGGTAACATTAAGTCACAGATGACTCAGAGAGACTTTATGAACGGAAGACCTGAACGCTTGTATAACTTTCATCGTTTCTCCAAGTTCATAGAGTTTCCGGAGGCAAGCTATTTTGGAAGTGGATGCCATTCCGGCTTTGAAGCTTGTTTTAATCGGGGAGCTCAACCAAACACTGTTCACCATGGGTAACCATTATCACATTTGACACATCAGTGTCACAGTGTACAGCATCACAGCAACCACAAGTTAACTCTGTATGGCAAATAGACAGACCAGGGCTGTACCACTTAATAGAATGTTTAACCAAAAAACACAAGTAGACATTTTTCTATAATTTTTCACTTTCAGCTAGAATCCATCTGACAGAATCAAAGCATCCTCAAATTTGCAGTCTGTTGGCATGGAACATAATAAGAAGCACTACTATGCTACTCTGAGGGTTGAAAACCAGTCAAGGTAAAAGGGAGAAAGATGGACAATTTCCTCCTGTGCAATTTACAACTTTGGAAATCCAGTGAAGAGTCAACTCTGAGTTGGTTACCACTCAATGGGAATGATAATATTTATTAAAGTACTTCCTTTTCAAAGTACTTCCTTGACAAAGAAAAGAACTTTAAATGGAAAATTTTAATGAGTTTACATTACATTATTTAAAATCTTAATGGTTAATACATGAGTAACATCACTTACCTAATTTAGTGTCTTGTTCCCAGGCTTGTTCAATAGTGTACAGTTTTTCCTTGGTGATCTCAAGTTCTTTACTTATATAACCCATTTGTTCTTTTAGGGATGCATTTTCACACTGAATGAGATTTTAAAAAAATTACTGAGAAACTAACTTGTAATTAAGACAAACACCACTGAAATGACATTGTGTTAAGTTTACATAATAGCTCCTAAAACTTAGCTGGGAAAAAAAACCCTCAACTAGTTAGCAGTTCTTGTAAGAAAACTAGTATCATAAACTCACACTGTGGTTATCAGTATTTTCGTCTTCATAGAGTCTAGCTTCACAAATTATTTGCTCAGTACACAGACATAATAAGTACGGAGATAAGATAATAGCCCTTCCTGGTTTTAAACCATGCATTATGTTTCCTCACTTCATCTGGACAACAGCTTCTTGGTCTAAGTACAGATTCACATAAGCACAGTTAAATGTTTTGGAATTCTCATTCTTCTAAATATAAGCCATAGTTTGTTATGATCCCCAGAGACAAATGCCTTTGCTTAGTCAATAAAACACAGACATTCTTCTGGTATTCTCTGCTTTCAGCAAGGATTCACCCGACTGACCACAGCAATATTCTTGTCCCAGAGCCTGTTCTAAACTCCAGTGGAACTTCTGTCAGTTTGCTTTTCAATGTACTGTTGTGGAGTTTATGTTTCAATATTACTTTTTTTTTAATTAAATTTCATTAACTTTAATGAACATTTACAGAGATTTGGGGTTTTCATTCATTCACTGTTGCACTATTTTCTCTACCCTCCTCCCCAGTTCATTCTTCTTTTTTTTCCCCCCTTGAAAGTCTGCTTTAATTGTCCAATTGCCACAGTGCTTGTCAAAGCCAGTTCTGATTAATCTCCTTTGTCAGTATGTCCTTTGCCATTCCCTATCACTCCTCCCTGAGAGAGACTTCACCCTGATTCATAGGGAAAAGGGGACGGTGTATTCTCTTAGCTACTTCCTGCTGTTAAGGGACGCTGTGGGTTTCAGGGTGAAGATCTTCTCTCACTACTCTAAAGGGCCCCTTTGGCAGTAGGAAACACATAGACTATTATGGAGATTGATTTTGGAATTTAGATGCCCTGTTATCAATTGTGCTTAGCCATGCATGTTCATATCCTTGAAGATGTAACATGGAAGTGTTGCAGCCTAGAAGACACAAATTTAACTAACAAGTTAAAAGTACATGAGTCAAAAATTGAAAAGCAGTAATATTCCATGTAGAGGCTTTAATAATGGCACTGATCAAGTTACAGAGGGAAGCTAGTTCTTACAATAAAAGGCCTATTGATTAGCATTTGGTCTATTATAGTATAAAGGTTAGGGATCACAAGATGTAGAGGTTCAACTATGTTATCCACTGTTCTTAAGTCAATATTACTTTTCCTAGCCATCATTTGACTTTGTAGATGAGGGAATATGTCAATAGGGCAAGTTAGCTTATCAACAAAGGGATTGGCCAGTCTCAACAATCTACAAATAAATTGGCTATCTTATCAATAAATAAAACTGCTCTAGCCACACACTGATATTTTAATGTCATTTAAGAAGAAGCAAGAGAATGTGGGATCCCCTTCTTTCTCCAGCTATACCTATGTCAGAAACACCTATGGTCAAATCTGGAAAGGATGTGAGATGGGACCTTATGAAAGGAGAGCCAATATTGGCAGGACTGTGAACTTTGTTGGACAAGTAGAGGTGGGAAGCCAATACTGGCAGGATTGAGAACTTGGCAATACTGACCTAGAGCCATGATGCTTGAGGCTGAGGTACCTGTGTGCACATTTTGTCTTGACTGTATTCTGTGATTAATCTGGAGTGCAAACTTTTGACTTCCCCGAAATGGTTCTGTGTAGTCTGTGAACTATCCTATCAAATTTTGGACCCAGTAAAGCAGTAAGATTGGTCTTGAGAGGAGTAGAAGAGATATGGGAGTATGGGGGACATTTCTGATCTCATGGGAATTGGTTTAGTTTTTGATGGGGTTGACAGGGACAGCGCCCCTTTGTGAAACTGACATAGGTCAGACATGGCCTTGCCCATGTAGCCCTTGCTCTTTCTGAAACTATACCTTCAGCAATATTTTGCTTGTATTTGACATTTTTAATAACTTCCACTATCTGTGGGATCACCTTTCTTGGGATTGGGGACAAAGACATCTCTCTTTCAGTCAGCCAGCCAGGAAGCTGTCCTCTAAATTTCCTGGTATAGGCTGGTGAGTACATCCAGAATTGAAACATGTTAAATGGTATTTCACCAATTCCTGGGGTCTCATTTTTGTCAATACTTCAAAACAGCTTGAACTTCTTCATTTATTATCATTAGCTCTTGTTCATAAAGTACTTTCTGAAATATTTCTTTTTATATAGTCCTTCCTTCCATCCCTCCTTCCCTCCCTTTCTCCCTCCCTTTCTTTCCTCCTCCCTCTCCTTCCTTCCTTCCTCTGTCCCTCCTTTCCTTCCTTCCCTCCCCCCTCCCTCCTTCCCTTTTCTTTTGATACTTTCTAGATCATTCAAGGTTTTGCCCATGGCCTCTCTCAGTATTGCAACTCAGAGCTTGAATTTTCAGTTCTTTCAACTTTAGAAGATTAAGTTCAACCCTTTTTATTTTTGTACTCCACCTTTTTTGCACAGTTCATTATAAAATTCTATTCTATCACTTCAAGCACCAAGAAAAGGATCATTAAAATTCTGTGTTTATAAAACTAAGACCACAACATATGATTTTTGGTAGTAAAACAATATGTTCATTTTCACAACAATCGCAACCTAATGTTTGCTTCCTCCATTCATGCACATATTTACTGGTTATCCTTAGCATTCCAACACGGACATGTGCTGGATATTCATGATAAAAAGAAATAGATAAAATTATGGTTTTTACATGTCTTGTCATTTGGACTTTGTATATATGTATGATCATACTGGGGTTGAAGAATTAGGGAAGGCAACAAACCATAAGCAGGTAAACAAAAATTCATTTAAGAAGATCTAGAAAGAAACAAACACGGTATTGATTCAAAGATGCATATATAGAGGGATAGGAGAAGATAGTTTTCAGAATAAATCAGTCAAGGAAAAAGCTAATATATTGTCAAACCCAATAGTCTAAAGGTCAAAAGAATTTGGAGAATTAAAAAGAGAAGTTTGGGTCTAAAGCAGAACAGAGCTTGGTGTACTAGAAAATAAGCATAGTAAGAAAGAATAAGGAGACTGGCTTAAGCTAAAGTGGTAGATAACAGTGGAGAGATAATCAGGCAAAAAAGGATATGTTAGTATAAGAAGATGGAATTTTATTTAACAAATATAAGAACTCATTTTAAGCAGAGAACTTTTAAATAAACATTTTTATTGGAAAACAGAATAAAGTGGTAAATATAGAAATCCAATTATTGAAGAAGTTACTGTCAAAGTTCAAATAAATGATAACATGGGCTTTGATAAGAGTCATAATAGTGAAGATGGAGAAAATAGGACACAAAGAAATTACATTGTTGTTGCTGTTGTTATGGGCCATCGAGTCACCTGTGACTCACAGCAATCCTATGTACATTAGCTCTGAACCCTACCCTATCCTGATTCTGTCTCATTGTCTCCAAAAGACATAATCCCATTTCTCCAGTTACTGAGTCAATCCATCTCATCGTGGGTTGGGTCTTCCTCTCCTGCACTGTCCCTCTACCCTTCCAAGCAGTCTTCTCCAAGGACTGGTCCCTCCTCTATCTTTCTCATAATATTATGACATGCTAATTTGCATCACAAACCTGAGTATCAGAAAGCTTACTGTATTTTCATTTTTAGTGCTTATGGAGGATTGCTGTTGTTGTTATGTACCATAGAGTCCAATCTTCTGGTGGGTTTTCAGAGTCAGTAATTTGCACAGGAAGAGACTGCCCACCTTTCACCTATGGAGTGGCTGGTGGCCTCGAACCACATGCCTTAATATTGAAGCACAACTTCTTGCCACTAAACTACTAGAGCTCTCTATGAAAATGAGGTAGCTTTAAAATATGTCTTAAAAAATAAAAGTCTTATATTTATAAGACATGATAATAGATACAATTAAAAAACTCTCATGTATGTGTTATGTTAAAAAAAATCCCCTTCTTATCTAGGATTATTTACTACTATGTGAGGGGAGTAAAAAAAGACCAAAATGGATGTCAGAAGAAACTCTGGAGTGCAGAGAAACCAAAGCAGAAGGAAGAATTCAAGATACTAAAGATCTGAATAGAAGATTCCAAAAGGCAGCGCGGGAAGACAAAGTAAAATATTATAATGAAATGTGCAAGGAGCTGGAGTCAGAAAATCAAAAGGACCGAACTCATTCAACGTGTTTTAAGATGAAGGAACTGAAGACCAAACTGAAACCTCGAGTTGCTATAATCAAGGATGCTTTAGGCAGAATAGTAAATGATCCAGGAAGTATTAAAAGAAGATAGAAATAATACACTGAGTCACTGTATCGAAAGGAATTGGCAGACACAGAAGAATTTAACGAAACAACATACGAGCAAGAGCCTATGGTGAT